GAATTCGAGTGGAAGAATAAGAACTGGCTTACACAGAACGCTTGGATTGTCGACGTTCGAAGAAATTGGCATAACTTTCGTATACGGTGTCTGTTTTGGGCCCATTACCCCATTTCTAAAAGTTCACAATGATTCTAATTGAACTCAAAGGTTCTCCATGACGTATGATGGATTTTTGTAGTTTGAATTCGTGTGGAAGAATAGGCGCTTGCGTACATGTAACACTCGGATTGTCGACGTTCGAAGAAATTGGCATAACTTTTGCATACGGTGTCGGTTTTGGGCCCATAACCCCATTTTGAAAATCTTGCGATGATTCATAACGAACTCATAGCTTTGTCATGATGTATGATGGATTTTAATAGTTTGAAATAGTGTGGAAAAATAGGAGATTGCGTGCATGGAACGCTTGGATTGTCAACGTTCGAAGAAATTGGCATAACTTTCGCATATGGAGTCCATTTTGGGCCCATAAACCCATTTCAAAAAGCTTGCGATGGTTCTCAATGAACTCATAGCTTCATCGTGATATATGATGGATTTTTGTAGTTCAAATTCATGTGATAGAATAGGCGCTTGCATACATGGAACACTTGGATTGTCGACGTTCGAAGAAATTGACATAACTTTCGCATATGGTGTTTGTTTTGGGCCCATAACCCCATTTCGAAAAGCTCACTACGATTCTAAATGAACTCCCAGCTTCACCATGATGTATGATAGATTTTAGTAGTTTGAATTCATGTGGAAGGATTGGCGCTTGCGTACATGGAATGCTTGGATTGTCGACGTTCGAAGAAATTGGTATAACTTTCACACACGGTGTCCATTTTGTACCCACAACTCCTCACGTTTTGGAAAGCTCACGACATTTCTAAATGAACTTGTAGAACCCCAAATAATTCTAGACACCTTAGTGGCACTAAGACATGAATATTGGATGACTAAAGTATACTTCAGATTTTTAGTCCCATTTGAGACCCATTTTCAACATAGGAAACATTCGATTTGGAAAATGATATCTAAATAAATATTGTAGCTCTTTGAGTTAGCTTTTCAACGCACTTTGAATTACCTCAATTGGATATTGGGAGAAGAAGTTATGATAGAAACACTGAAAGCTGTGCAGTGTAAATCGGACTACAACTGGTCGACCGAAACTGCCTGAAATGAAAATTTCTCTTTTTTCTCCAGAATTTAAATATTTATTTTCATCAATTATTTTCTCAAAGGGCCACCCACGTTTTTGACAATAAAAATCCCACTAAATTAAAGCATTTAACCTCAAACTTAAATGACACCCATGTTTTCTCTCTTAAATGAAAGTTGACCGTTCATTTGCTTTAAGTTATGGGATATTTACCTATAAATAGAGACCTCATTTTACTCATTTTTTCTCACACCAAAAGAAAGAGCTTTTACATACTAAAGAAAGAGTTTCCAAGAGAGAAAAAGAGAGGGAGGAAAACTATTTTTCCTAGAAGTTTAAGAAGTGTTTTCAAGCATCAATTCTCAATAGTTTCAAACATCCAAGGAGTGCATTTCTTTCAACGTCCAAGTTTCATCGAAGTTTTTAATCCAAGTTTTCAAAGTTTCAAAAGCATCAATCAAGGTAGGTAGAGGTGCAATGTGTTTAATCGTATTAAGTTATAAGTTTCGATTCATGTTAATGTTCGTATGTCAAATGGTACTCCGTACGGCATATCCCTCTATGTTAATGGTTGTATGTCAAATGGTACTCCGGTACGGCATACCCCTCTATTTTGAAGAAATGTTCGTATGTCAAATGGTGCCCTCGGGTACGGCATACCCCTTCATGTCAAATGGTGCCTCCGGGTACGGCATGTATGAAAAGTTATAAAGTTAATGTTTTGAAATGTATAGCTTGATCACAAATGCACCTATGACACCTATTGAGTTTTTCAACTCACGGGTATAATCCCATCTCTACAGATTGAAGGAATTCTACCTCGAGCATGGATGGAGGAGAAGATGGAGAGTGATGCAACGAGCCCATGGAAATCCAATGAATAAGTGATTTAGATTTATGTTTATGAGATGTTTTCCAATGTTATTTCTTTAAAGTTTTGAATAACGCAGAATGCGAGAACAAGTTATGTTTCCTTCAAATAAATTACATTTTGTTGTTTGAAAAATGATTCAGTGTTTTTGTTTAAAGTATTTGAAGTATTTTTATTTAAATTATTGTCCGAAGATGTAAGCTTCTGCTAAAACGTATACACTTGTTACTAAATCACCAGTTAAGCTAAGTAAAGTAAGTAGCATTCCGGTCCACTAGGGGTCAGGGCGTTACAACGTGGTATCAGAGCAAGGTAGCCAGTTCTGTAGACCAAGTATGTTTTTTTTTTAAAACAAAAGGAAAATGAAAAGTTTAAGGTATTCCATGGCATCGTGCATCCATCCATCAATCTCATCCTATGGCCCAGGTATGTTCATGTTTAAAGTTAATGATTATGTTTATGTTATGATACTTTGATATGATTTAGAGATGTGTTATTTAAAGATATGTAATGGACTTGGGCAAAAGCTAAGGGCTTAAAGGGAATTACATGATATGAAAGTTTAAATATTTGCATGTTTTCTTTAAGCAAAGAAAAAGTATGATCTATGTGAAAATGCAACAGATATGGCTCGTAGAAAAGCCAGGGCATATAGAGAAGCATTGAACCGTAGAATTGTTATTCATTCTATGAAAACTATGTAACTGATCCGACCCGACCGCTTAGCGAACATGTGTATGACATCTATGAGAGATGCATGATGGCAGTTAATGCTGGAATGGAGATCACGCATATCGAGGCCATAAATAACCTCACACACTCCCTCCCACATCAATGGGGAGATATGGGAGTCACGGTTAGGGATGACATGTTAGAAGGCAACCCAAACCTGTTCGAGTTTGAGAGGTATTACCATGCCCTAATTGATTTGTGGGATGATGTAATCCATGAGGAGCTTGAGGAGGAACCTTTGGCTGAGGAAGAAGATCCCGAAGAAGAACCCGAGGATGATTTAGAGAATGATCCTGAGCCTGAGCCATAAGTTGAGATGGACATAGAGTCCGGACCTGAGGCGGAAGACTCCTCCGAAGATGAAGCTCCACCAAAGAAGATCCGTAGAACTTATAGGGATTAGATTTAAATCCTTGTAATAGCTTCCTTTATGTCAAGAAATAAAATACTATCTTCTTTGCTTTAGTATTCGAAGAATGAAACTAATAAGAACCATATGTTTTATCTAAAGGAAATGGCCCGCGCAAACCAAAACTTGATAAGAGACCTCCTTCGAGCGGTTCAAGACCTAGGCAGGCAAAACCCGAACCAAGCTCAACCCCTACCACTAGCTCCTAATGTTCCAAACCATGCTTCAGTGGTCGAGAAATTTCGAAGGCACAAGCCCCCTACCTTCAACAGAGCAGCTAATCCACTTGCAGCCGAGGAGTGGCTTTGCAAGTTGGAGCATATATTCCGATTAATAGGGTGCACGGATGCTCAAAAAGTCCAGTGTGCTGAGTTCATTTTCTTCGGTGATGCAAGCACTGGTGGCACTCAATGTCAAGGACAAGGACCCCTAAGCAACAAGCAGAATTGACTTGGGAGCAATTCAAAGGGGAAGTAATGGACAAGTACTTTCCCTAGTCCTTGAGGGATCACAAAGAAAGTGAATTCCTCCAACTCAAGTAAAAGACTATGTCCCTGACTGAGTATGAGAAGAAGTTTGATCAACTTTCAAGGTATGCTCCACATCTGGTGGATACGAAAGATAAGAAGGTACGAAGGTTTGAACAAGGGCTGAACTCGGATATAAGCATGATACTTATGTCCCGTCGCTTCACCACATACCGTAAAGTGCTGGAAAGAGCTCATGCTATTTGGTACCAAAAGACTAGCGCCGAATAACATGGTCAACTATTCAATCAACTAAACAATGGTAACATAGGAAAGAGGAAATGGAATGGCCAGGACAAGGGAAAAGGCAAGTGCCAGAACAAGAAAGCTAATGGCGGAGCCAATGCCAATAAAAGCATTGTGCCGATTATTGCGCCCTATTATAAGTGTGGAAGGACACATCGTGGCAAGTGCTTATAACGAAAAATTGTCTGTTTTCGATGTGGCAAGCCAGGATATATCATTAGGGATTGTCCCACACATATCCAGAAGAAGGATGATAACAGCAACCAGAACCAGAAAGGGAAAGCACGAGTTTTTGCATTGACTCAACAGGATGTAGAGGAAAACTCTAATGTCATAGCAGGTACTCTACTGATAGCCAATACACCTACTTATGTATTATTTGATTCAGGAGCTACACACTCCTTTGCTTCAACAACTTTTATGGCTAAATCAAGTATTACCTGTGATAAGTCGAAAAGTACATTAGAAGTTAGTATTCCTTCAAGCAACCCTTTGAATACTAATAGAATAGCCAAGTCAGTAAGTATCAAAGTTGAGGGAAAACCAATGGAAGCGAACCTAGACATGATAGAAATGAAGGATTTTAATATAATACTAGGCATGGATTGGTTAGGTTGTAATTACGCCACCATCCAATGTAAAGAAATGGAAGTATCATTTCAGAAACCAGAAGAGAAACCATTTTCATTCCTTGGAATGAAGACAAAACCCCTTATTCGACTAGTATCGGCTTTACAAGCTGAGAAGATGTTGAGAAAAGAAACATGTCAAGGTTATCTAGTAAGTATCTCATGAGGGAAACAAGAGATGATAAGTGTTGAAGATGTACCAGTAGTACGGGAATTCGTAGATGTGTTTCCAGAAGATCTACAAGTGGAATTCACCATAGACCTAATTCCTGGGACGGCACCAGTAACTAAGGCCCCATACCGAATGGCCCCAAAGGAACTACAAGAATTAAAGAAGTAGTTGCAAGAACTCCTAGATATGGGCTTCATACGACCAAGTGTATCTCTATGGGGTGTGTCGGTGTTGTTTGTAAAGAAGAAAGATGGAAGCATGAGGATGTGCATTGATTATAGGGAGATAAATCGATTAACCATCAAGAATAAGTACCCACTCCCGAGGATCGAGGATCTGTTAGATCAACTGAAAGGAGCTAAGGTATTGTCCAAGATCGACTTACAATTGGGATACCATCAACTGAAAGTAGAGACAAAGGACATACCTAAGACAGCTTTTAGAACTCGATATGGACACCACGAGTTTACGGTGATGTCGTTTGGGCTAACCAATGCACCTGCAGTGTTCATGGACCTGATGAATCGAGTGTTTCATCAATACTTGGATCAGTTTGTCATAGTCTTCATCGATGACATTCTCATATATTCCAAGAGTAAGGAGCAACATGAAGAGCACTTGAGAATAGCCTTAGAGGTATTACGCAAGGAGAAGCTGTATGCCAAATTCAAGAAGTACGAGTTTTGGCTTGAACGAGTTGGATTTCTTGGACATGTAGTTACTGCCCAAGGGATTGATGTAGATCCAGCAAAAGTAGAAGCAGTAACCAACTGGAAAGCACCAACAAATGCTGGCAAAGAACGGAGTTTTCTAGGATTGGCTAGATATTATAGGAGATTCATAGAAGGATTCTCCAAAATAGCTAGACCAATGACACAGCTTACAAGGAAGGGAGTAAAATTCCAATGGACGAAAAAATGCGAACAAAGTTTCCAAGAACTTAAGCAGAAGTTGATATCAGCACCTGTATTAACAATACCTGAAGGTACGAAAGGGTTTGTTATATACAGCGATGCATCCAAGCGAGGATTGGGATGTGTACTAATGCAGAATGATATGCTTCAAGACAATAGAAGAAACATGAGCAGAACTACCCGACGTATGATTTAGAACTTGCAGCGGTAGTACACGCTTTGAAGATATGGCAACACTACTTGTATGGATGGAAGTGTGATATCTACACAGATTACAAAAGTCTCAAGTATTTCCTCACACAGAAGGAATTGAATATACGACAAGACGATGGTTGGAATTAGTGAACGATTACGACTGCACTATTCACTACCATTTGGGTACGGTTAATGTTGTGGCCGATGCTCTAAGTAGAAAATCAATGGGACAATTGACGTCACTACCCACCTCTCAAGTGGAGTTAGTCAAGGACTTGGAAAAGTTGCAGATCGAAGTGGTTACCACACCAGGACAAGTCACTGCTCGTCTAGCAGATTTAATAATTCGACCTACTCTTAGAGATCGAATTATAGAAGCACAAAATAAAGACTCATTTTTGCAAAAGATTAAGAATGAAGTTGGTACCGATAAGAATAAGGGCTTTGGAATAGCTGAGGATCAGGCACTGATATTTAGAGGAAGAATTTGCGTACCTAAGGACGAAGCCTTGAGAAACGAGATATTGAAAGAAGCTCATTCCACCCCCATACACCGCACATCCCGATGGTACGAAAATGTATCGAGATCTTTGAGATATATTTTGGTGGAGAAATATGAAAAGAAGTATAGGGCTGTACGTGCAGAAGTGCATGGTATGTCAACAGGTTAAGGCAAAACACCAAAAACTAGCTGGATTGTTAATTCCACTAGATATACCTGAATGGAAATGGGAAAATATCACGATGGACTTTGTGGTTGGATTCCCAAAGTCAGCAAGAGGAAATAATGCTGTATGAGTAGTAGTGGATCGACTAACGAAGTCAACTCATTTTCTTCCAGTGAAAATGACATTCAGTTTAGACCAATTGGCACAGTTGTACATTAACGAGGTTGTGAGATTACACAGTGTACCTGTATCCATTGTATCTGACAGAGACCCAAGGTTCACATCCAAATTTTGGAAAAGTCTACAAGGAGCTATGGGAACGAAGCTGAACTTTAGTACAGCATATCACCCTCAGTCCGATGGTCAGTCTAAAAAGACCATCCAAACTTTGGAAGACATGCTGAGAACATGTATTTTAGATCTAGGAGGTAATTGGGAGTCATACTTACCTCTAGTAGAGTTCTCTTATAATAATAGTTTCCAAGCAACTATTGGAATGGCACCATACGAAGCTCTCTATCGTAGAAGATGTAGATCCCCTGTTCATTAGGATGAAGTTGGAGAGAAGAGAGTTTTAGGACCAGAAATAGTTGAAAGGACGGTCGAGGTAATCGATAAGATCCGTGCAAGAATAAAGGCAGCACAGGATCGACAAAAGAGCTATGTAGATACAAGGAGGAAGGATTTAGAATTCCAAGTTGGGGATAAAGTGTTTCTGAAAGTAGCACCGATGAAAGGTGTACTTAGATTTGGAAAAAAAAGGCAAGCTATGACCCCAGTATATTGGACCTTTCAAGATACTTGATAGAGTCAAAAATGTGGCTTACCGACTAGCTTTGCCACTTGAATTATCGGCAGTGCACAATGTGTTCCATATATCGATGATAAAGAAGTATGTACATGATCCTAGTCATGTAGTGAGTTATCAAACCTTGGAGGTACACAAAGATTTGTCGTACGAGGAAATATAGATCAAGATATTGGATCGAAAAGTGCATAAACTAAGGAATAAAGAGATTCAGCTGGTTAAGATATAGTGGAATCATCACGGCGTAGAAGAAGTCACTTGGAAAAAGAAGAAGAAGCCAAAGACCAGTTACAACACTATTCACCCAATCAGAAGGTAAATTAAGAGGACAAAATTTTAATTAAGGTGTGGAGAATGTAGAACCCCAAATAATTCTAGATACCTTAGTGGCACTAAGGCATGAATATTGGATGACTAAAGTATATTTCAAATTTTTAATCTCATTTGAGACCCATTTTTGACATAGGAAACATTCGATTTGGAAAATGATATCTAAATAAAAGTTGTAGCTCTTTGAGTTAGCTTTCCAACGCACTTTGAATTACCTCAACTGGATAACGGGAGAAAAAGTTATGATAGAAACACTGAAAGCTGTGTAGTGTCAACTGGACTACAATCGATCGACCGAAACTGCCTGAACTGAAAAATTCTCATTTTTCTCTAGAATTTAAATATTTATTTTCATCAATTAGTTTCTCAAAGGGCCACCCACGTTTTTGGCAATAAAACCCCACTAAATTGAAGCATTTAACCTCGAAATTAAATGGCACCCATGTTTTCTCTCTTAAATGAAATTTGACCCTTCATTTGCTTTAAGTTATGGGATATTTACCTATAAATAGAGATCTAATTTCACTCATTTTTTCTCACACCAAAAGCAAAAGCTTTTACATACTAAAGAAAGAGTTTCCAAGAGAGAAAAAGAGAGGGAGGAAAACTATTTTTCCTAGAAGTTTAAGAAGTGTTTTCAAGCATCAATTTTCAATGGTTTTCAAACATCCAAGGAGTGCATTTCTTTCAACGTCCAAGTCTCATCGAAGTTTTCAAAGTTTCAAAAGCATCAATCAAGATAGGTAGAGGTGCAATGTGTTTAATCGTGTTAAGTTATAAGTTTAGATTCATGTTAATGTTCGTATGTCAAATGGTACTCCGGTACAGCATATCCCTCTATGTTAATGGTTGTATGTCAAATGGTACTCCGGTACAGCATATCCCTCTATGTTAATGGTTGTATGTCAAATGGTACTCCGGTACGGCATACCCCTCTATTTTGAAGAAATGTTCGTATGTCAAATGGTGCCCTCGGGTACGGCATACCCCTTCATGTCAAATGGTGCCTCCGGGTATGATATGTATGAAAAGTTATAAAGTTAATGTTTTGAAATGTATAGCTTGATCACGAATGCACCTATGACACCTATTGAGTTTTTCAACTCACGGGTTTAATCCCATCTCTACATATTGAAGGAATTCTACCTTGGGCATGGATTGAGGAGAAGATGGAGAGTGATGCAACGAGCCCATGGAAATCCGATGAATAAGTGATTTGGATTTATTTTTATGAAATGTTATTTCTTTAAAGTTTTGAATAACGCAGAATGCGAGAACAAGTTATGTTTCCTTCAAATAAATTACATTTTGTTGTTTGAAAAATGATTCAGTGTTTTTGTTCAAAGTATTTAAAGTATTGTTATTTAAATTATTATTCGAAGATGTAAGCTTTCGCTAAAATGTATACACTTGTTACTAAACCACTGGTTAAGCTAAGTAAAATAAGTAGCATTCCGGTCCACTAGGGGTCAGGACGTTACAGAACTCGTAGCTTCATCGTAACGTATGATGGATTTTGGTAGTTTAACTTCACGTGGAAGAACAGGCACTTGCGTACATGGAACTCTTGGATTGTCAACGTTCGAAGAAATTAGCATAACTTTCGCATACGGTGTTTGTTTTTGACCCATAACCCCATTTCAGAAAGCTCACGATGATTCTGAATGAACTCTCAGCTTTATCATGAAGAATGATGGATTTTAGCTATTTGAATTCATGTTGAAGAATAGGCGCTTGCGTACATGGAATGCTTGGATTGTCGACGTTCGAAGAAATTGTCATAACTTTCGTATACGGTGTCCGTTTTGGCCCCACAACTCTCCACATTTCGAAAAGCTCACGATGATTTTGAATTAACTCTTAGGATCACCATGATGTATGTTGGTTTCCAGTTGTTTGAATTCATGTGGAAGAACAGGCACTCGCGTACATGGAACGCTTAGATTGTCTACGTTCGAAGAAATTGGCATAATTTTCACATACGATGTCCATTTTGTACCCATGACTCCCCACACTTTTTAGAGCTCGTTATGATTCTGAATTAACTCGTAGCATCGCCGTAACATATGATAGATTCAAGCAGTTTGAATTCACATGGAAGAATAGGCGCTTGCATACATGGAACGCTTTGATTGTCGACGTTCGAAGAAATTGGCATAACTTTCACATATGGTGTCCACTTTTGGCCCATAACCCCATTTTGAAAGGCTTACGATGGTTTTGAATGAGCTCATAGCTTCATCGTGATGTATGATAGATTTTGGTAGTTTGACTTCACGTGAAAGAATAGGTGCTTGCGTACATGGAACACTTGGATTGTTGACATTCGAAGAAATTGGCATAACTTTTGCATACAGTGTTCGTTTTGGGCCCATAACCCATTTCGAAAAGCTTATGATGATTTTGATTGAACTCCAGGCTTTTTCATGATGTATGATAGATTTTAGTAGTTTGAGAGCTAGCTTACATGGAACGCTTGGATTGCTGACGTTCGAAGAAATTGGCGTAACTTTCGCATATAGTGTCCATTTTGGGCCCATAACCCCATTTCGAAAAGCTCACGATGATTCTGAATGAACTCACAACATTATCATGAATATGATGGAATTTAGCAGTTTGAATTCATGTGGAAGAATGGGCACTTACGTACATGGAATGGTTGGATTGACGACGTTCGAACAAATTGGCATAACTTTCGCATACGGTGTCCGTTTTGAGCCCATAACCCCCACATTTCACAACGATTCTGAATGAACTCGTTCCTTCACC